ATGTCGTTGAAATCAACCAATTACTTTTTATGCTTCTAATTACTTTTCTTAAAATCGACGAATATGTGCACAAAAAAAAACAGATGAATATCGTTTAAGCACATGCACAGTTGAATAAAGGCCTGAAATAAGCGTGGAAGGCTTTGAATAGTTTTTCATGTTGGAGAAGATCAAAAAAATTAACGTTAAAGAATTTGTTTTGCACATTAACTTTCTATTGCAATTTTCATCTTCTCTCAGAAAAAGAATCTCAAAAATAATATTGCAATCTTATCCTCTATAAAATTTCCTATTTCCTTTTTTTGGATTTTCTACCGACTTCTAAGGTTATGGATTTTTCGTGGCTGAAATACCTCCACAGTTTTGAAATTGCCTGCCAAGTGGTAACTGTGAATGTAAAATATTTTTTCAATAAATATAAATGTTTAAGAGGAAAATCGGAAAGTATATTTAAGTGTTTTATATAAATCGTTGAATAAATGCAATAGCTCAACACCATATTTAGTGAAAATTGCATTAATCGCATATACCTATAACATAATGCAAGAATCGAAATGATTACATTATTATACTCTTTCAACATGTTGCAACAGAGTATAATAGTTTTGTTCACCTAACGGTTGTTGTATCACCTAAAACTAATCGAGTTAGATATAGGGTTATGTATATATAATCGGTATTGTTAATGGGCGTGATCGAACCACTGCCACGCTCACAAAACGCCATTAAACGAAACCCAATTAAATACCGTAACTAAGCTGCACAATAAAATATAAGACTGTTATTTGGTATACAAATATTTGGATCACATTAGGGATGGGCATCTGCAGTTTATTAAATTTTTTTTTAAGTGGGTGTTATCTCGCCCCCTAATAGGTTTAATGGTCATATCTCCTAAACCGCTAAAGCTATAATAACAAAATTCAGTGAAAACAAATATTAGCACTTCTATCGAAAATGGGTGACGTCGTGTGACAACCCCGCTCACTCCCCATATAACGGTACTGTTAAAAACTACTAAAAGCGTGATAAATTAAGCACTGAACACGCCAGAGACATTAAATTTTATCTCTGGGATGGTATGAGACGACTTTATAGGCATCGCGTTCAAAATTAGACACTAGGCTTGGCACCGCCCACTTTTATCCGAACTTAGAACTTTCTTACTGGTTTTAATTTTAATTTTTTTACTAAATTTTTCCACAACTGCAAATCTTTAAAAATATATTTTTATACCTTGAACAGAAAATAATAAGTTTGAACGATGCTTGAAATATCCAGAAGCAAACGTTGAAGATACTATGATATATTAGGTGTAGTAAAAATTAATCCATTATTTTTGCATTAAATTGAATGCTTTAATGATTGCTTTTCGTATCCAGCCTTATTCAAATGGTTCTAAATGGGTTTTTGTGCAATGGTCAGGCCCTGGACAATCGTAATCGATGTTTGGATTCGGCGACTTCCATTATTTGATCGATTTTTTCGATAATTGGGCTTCTGTGTTGCACCTTTGACATCGAAATTACCGGAACGGAAACGACGAAACCAAAATTGCGCATGATTGGCTGTTACAGTATAAGGACCATAAGCGCTATTCACATTTTGTTGGACATTTAATTATGTCCATTTATCTGTCCGCCCCTCTGTATATAGTCAGATTTTGAGACTTCGTTCTGAATTTTTGCACATGATTCGACAAAGGTGCTTGTATGGGGAACTTCTTTATTTAAGAAGTTATATTCATGAAATTTTGCATGAATTATTATCCACGGCAAGGTTACTATCACCGAATAATTTGTTCAGATTCGGCTGCTAAAACATATAGCTGCCATACAAACTGACCGATCAGAATCAAATAATTTGTAAAAAGCTGTTTTTTATTTTATTTTTTTAGAAAACAAGTTAGGCATTATCTTTTGAGAGATTCGAACACATTAATAAACTATTTCCTAAAAATGTCTGTACTTGAAAAGTAGAAACAAATTTCGAAAATTGCACATAAAGACACCTCAATAAATCCTTCACCTCTGGTGGCGTAAAATAGATTTACATGCAACACTTTATTCACTTCATTTCACTTTATCTAAATCACTTTGCGTCAACAACCGCAAATAACACTTCAAATCGTTATTTATTATACACTTTTTATTTGTTTTGTTTTTTATTTGTTTTTCTCGAATATCGCGTTTCACTTTGCGCTGCTTTCTTAAAGGTCGCCCGCTTCGAGAAGTTACGCGTCGCATATCCTGCCGCCGACTGTGACCTACCGTATTCGGCGCGGGTGTTTTATCTAATTTCTTCCTTGGCACGTAGCGCCGACGATTCCAACACCTGTCATAGACTTACTGCAACTAAACATAAATATATGTATGTTGTATCCGCGAGACTGTCAATATTTGTCTGTGTGTATTTCTGCACTTTTATTTACTTACTTCCGTCTGCAGAAGTCTCTCTATCGCCGCTGGCAGAAACAAATGTTCGGCGATATTGCAGACATACACTGTGTTGGATTCACATTATTGGCGCAATCAATTTGCCCTACTCTACTTACACAGTTATACACACACATACCAACACAAATGCAATCGTGTACCGTTACTTTCATACTTACATTTTCATATTAATATTTGTTTGTTTTTGCACAAATGCATTTGCCCACTTTTCCGATTTTGTCTGCCTTTCGCACGTTTCCTTCCTGCATAACTCACGCTGTCTCATATTTGCCTTATCTGCTCATTCTCAATGATTCATATTTGTTCAAAAAACACTTCCACATACGCTCACATGCTTCGAAATGAATAATTGCAGTTTCATATTGTTTTTTTCGCCTTCACTTTTATTGTTGTCTTCGTGTTCATTTTTCACTATTCACTTCCTCTTTCACTTTCATCGAGTAAGTAGAAACAGCTTTCGCAGTATGTTGTGCCATGCCGTCTTCTATTTCTGTGCAATTTTTGTTGTTTGCAGCAAGTGTACTAATAAAATGGCGTTAGTTTTTGTTGTTATACATTGTAAGTGTACTAATGGAATTTCAAAGTTCGCGTGCCAAGCCAGCGCCATTCACAATGTGGTGTCGTATTTCAGCCTTTCGAACTATCTACCGAAATTCCTCATATTTTGCACTAGCCCTTGCCGCTCTCCACTCTTCCTTTCGTTTATTAGTTCAAGTGGGTTCAACTATGTGAGTATTTACAGAGTGCAGAGTTTGGTGGGTGCGAATACTCAACAATTGCCACCTTGATTGCAGCTACTAGCCAGCACACGGGCTTTTGAACTAAAAGCTTATGAAAGTTAGTTTTATGACAGGCCGGATAATGCAGCAAATTTATTTTTCAATATTTTATACATTTATCCACATGGCAAATACACTCTATGATACGTCTGCAGCTGTCTGCCTATTTTTGTATTAAAATATGTTTGTTCGTGTGTGTGTGTGTTAAGTCGTAAATGGTGGCGTTTCAGCCGCTGATCGATTTCTTATTGTTTTGACTTAGTACCGTTGAATTAAACTTTTGTTTTGCCATTGATACGAGTATATTGTTTCATTTATTTGTTAGTAAAATAGTTGAAATATATAGTATGCTTTTAGGCCCGTTTCATTGCATATTTCGCGCTTCCGCAAAGTATTCTTCAGTTGAAGTAATACAATGTCTGATATGAGAGAACTAATGGAAATGCCTTTCAAATTTACTTTTATTTTTGTTGTATCAGAAATACAATATAAAGCAGTATACTAATATCATTAGGCGGTAATTCGTCTTTTTTCGAAACTAATGGAGTTAAAAATTATATACAGCATTCTTTCCAGACAGGAAATATTCTAAAATGCTGAGTTATTTATATTCTACTGTTAAGACCGTTGCCACTCCCAACTATCGGGATTAAATCTGCCAACATCCAATCCAATTTAATTATAAACAAATTTTTTTACCACTTTTGGTATTGAATTTAGCTTATCACTTTGTAATGTTAGAATTTTTTAAGCAGCTGGCAACCCTTTTCGAGAACATCTCCAGTAGAACATTTTTTTTTTTTTATTATTATTAATATATTATATTAATATTTCATTTATGTTATCAATTTAATTTCTTATACAGTTTCAAACAATTGGCAACCCTACTCAAACATATGTATTTCTCCTTGCTTCAACTGCAAAATATTCTAAACCTCTCAAGTTGGACACCTATGTTTAGTAGTTTCTGTATGTTTTTATTAATTTTTGCTCAAAATTTCCAAGCATTTATACACCTTTATAGCTTCATAATTCAATTTCATTAGCAGTTTCCAACAACTGGCAACTCTTGTTAAGAATTGTAATTATAACTTTAAGTTGCCTAGGGTCAACTTTGATACCATTATTACAATAATTTAATTATTTTATAATTTTTACTAAATTAAATTTTTTAAACATGTAGCAACGCCTACCAAAATATTTTTAGCATCAACTTTAAGGCTTCCAAACTCTCTTTAGTTTGATGTCTGTATTGCAGTAATTGCATTATGTCATAAATTATCTTAAATTCAATTTTTAAAGAGATGGCAACTTCTTCTAAAAATATTTTAAAGTTTCAAATTTCTTAAATCCTTTTAGTTTACTGCTCCTAGTGTAGTAATTCGATTATTATACCAACTTTATTAAATTAACATTTTTAAACAGGTGGCATCACTTCTCAAAATTTTTTAGTTTCAACTAAGAGAAACCCACTTTTCTTTCTTTACTTAAATGTCCAAAATGTATTATTTCGATAATCTTACCAACAATATTACACGAATATTTTTAAAATCGTGGCAACTTCTTCAAAAAATATTTTCAGCTGTAAAATTTTCCAAACCTCTTTAGTCCTAGCGTAATAATTTTATTTACTTTATTAATATTTTACTAAATTAACATTTTTAAAGAGGTGGTAACTTCATATCTTTTAAGCCTTCTAACTTTTATATGTTTTAAACCAACCGTGTATTGTTCATAAAAATAAAATAAAAATGTTGAATTTTTCTTTAATAATATTTATTGTAAATACATATAGTACATATTCTACAACTCATATTCGGGAAATAAGATACTTTATCAGCATATTATATTATATGCAGATAAAGTTCATCTGTACATAAATAATGTTTTTTGTTTTTAACTTAAGATCACTTCGAAAGCTATGATTTATTCAAACCCCTAATGAAAATATCACTACAATAGCGTACACATAAAAGACCCTCGTTTGGTTCGCTGATCGAAACATAAAAAATAAATATATGCGTATATGTATGTGTTTTAAATTATTAGTTAGATAACTAGGTACAAATAATTAGCAATTCGATATTTGGCGCTGCTAATTCGGGAAGAATATTTTTGGAATTTATGTAGTCGCTTGCAGTTCTGTTGTTGCTTCTACTTGGGTTGCAATGTGTATGGGATTATTGAATTCGATGTGCTCAGGATTGAGTAATTCATCTGAAATGTGTTAGAAAAAATATATTAGTTCCAAGACTCCGTCTTAAAACGTTTTAGAAACCCGAAAGAGGGTTATTTGTAAAAAAAAAAAAAAAATTTTCGACTCATTTTTTTAATTTTCAACTTTTAGACAATAGTTTTCTTCGACGGAAAAGTTTAGTGCCCGATTTCAATGCTCGACTTTTGTACAAATGATTTCTAGTTAAAAAAAGGTTAATATGACCTATTAGAGTAGACCCTAGAGGGTTAAATTGCTTAAGGATTTGATTATTCAACTACGATTTCGACATCAAAAGTTTCTTGTAAGCGTAGAACATAGAAGGTTAAAGTGTTTCAAGAAATTATTCATCAAACAGGCTAATGTAAAAAACCTTTGTACTTTGTAATACATATTTTCAAGATTTCCACAAATTCCACATTCTCTCACCCTCGACATGCTGCTGCTCAAAGTCCATTATACTCTTCACAATAGTATTTATGAAATCTTGCGTGATTGTCTCTGTTATATTTACGGGGTCAAAGTAAAGATAGCTACGACGCTGGCGCACACTCTCCACCTTCGGCTCCGCAACTTCACTCTGCGACATCAAATCCAGCGATGGTAGTGAGCGCCGATTGCGAAATAAGGCCAAACTGATATGCGACTGCTGTAACGGTATATTGTCTGGCCCAAATTCCAAGCACTTGCCATTGACGCAATATCGCTCCTCCGTATTTGAGCATTTAGTGCCCAGCGGAAAGTGCCCATACCGCCCGTTCACCAAATAAAAGCGATACTTAATAGATTCATCCTGGCAGCCGACACGACAACTCCTATCCGGCTCATCGACGCTCGCCGCAATTTGCGTGCCATAGCCAGAGAGGCCGCGCACCTTCAGCTTGTAGCGCGCGCATGTGTGTTCCGCATGTTCGGTGGCCGACAGCAAGCGTTCACAAGGCTGCAACAATTCAACAATAAATTTGAAAATTAATATAACAAAAAACACAAGCAATAAAAGCAAACTAAAAAGTGGAAAATTTATTGGCGCTCATATTTATCTTCATACCTTGGCGGTATGCGTGCATAACTGTATATTATTGGCACCGGTGCGACGCGAGGTCACCACTTGAATGCCCTTCGATTTGGCCATACAACTTGAATGGCAACCGGATTTGACAATCCATTCTGGCTCTGCTGCCGCCGCTGTTACTGACGTGTCCAGGGCTACCAATGAAGCGGAGACGGGAGGTGGCGGCTTCGGCGGCTGTGGCTGCGCCACGGGTTGCGCTGAGTCGCGCAGTGGATAATTGTATTTACTCCACGGTTGATAGACGCCCGTTTTACGTTTGTAGGGTGATTCGCGCTCCTGACCATGGAAACTGCGTATGGCCACCTCTGCAATAAAAGCGATCATAATAAATACAACTTTTTGAAAAGCACCGAAATTACTCACCATTCTCGTATTTGCTACGATATGTTGTTGGCGCATAGATGTTGTACTGTGGTATGTTATTGCTGTTATGGTAATTTTTATTATAACTTAAATTATTGCCACTAGCAGTGGAGCCATGCACCGTGTTGTAGCGTCGACTCTCCGATTCCTCGGCACGTGCTGGTGACGTTCTTCGTTGCTCACAAAAATGTGGATCCAATTTGTAGTAATTTTGTGTCGAGTTGTCACATGAGAACTTCTCACACCGTCCACCAATGCAGTATGATATATCTTCGGCTTTGTAAAGTGTTGTGCGGCATGTGGTACCGTCAGGGAAAGTCCAGCGACGCGTTTTGGTACCATTCGTTTTCGAGCGGCAGTAAACTTTGCAAGACTCCTCTACAAATATGTCCAAGATGTCATAAAAATGTAGTTATAATAGTATGAAAAGACATTTGATACCAACCAATATCTCCAATTATTTGCACACCCTCGCCCGTCAGTTCCGCATCCGACTTTTGCGCACGACTGCATTTGTCATAAGCGAATTCTTCAATTGTCATAACGATCTTCAAGCTGTAACAGTCTTTGGCTACGCAAGACTCGTATTTATGGTCACGCCCGAGACAACGTCTATAATGATCAACACATCGACGTGAGTATGTTCGTAGACCCGTGCTGCCTTCGAGCAGACGACGAGAAGGTCCATAAAGACAGCCAGAGGCACAGTCACTCACCTCGCTCCATTCACTCCAACTAACAGGCTATAATCAGAAGAAACAAAAGATATTGAGGCTATCTTCGAATAGGCTTTCACAAGAGAAATTCGCTTAGACTTCTAAGAGATATCAGGCATAAAATAGAAAGGGTGACCGGGATTTTGTTTAATGGTATATTAAGGTGTTGATAACGAACTCCGGTATCCACACAACCAGTGCTGAGGTAATCATTTTTGAGCTAAAGTTATCTTAACTTCGCAAAAGCTCTACCTTCCTCGACATATAATGGTCTGATCAATTCACACAACTGTTCCCCATTAGATGAGAATATTTCTGGTTCCCGTATATAAAGTCGTCTTCCAAGGAGGCAGGTTGTCATTTCACCCGATTTTTGAGCAAAAATATATCTAGCCTGCAACATAAACATTTTCTCTCAATACAAAAAAAGCACTTCGTGGAATCGAATACATGAATTATTGATCAAAAGAGAGTTCACTAACGCTACAAATCTGACTCATCTTTTGGAAGTTAACCCACACTCATATTCCATCTATGACATGAAGCTAAGTTGTTGTTTTTTTTTCATTTATCTACTATGTTTTCATCCTTAGGTGTAGTCAAAATGCAAAGTAGCAGTCACTAACCTTATTATAGTTGTATTCGTGCAATAGGTGACCCATCTTACTGGATTCCAGAAAATTCGACTTATCGTAACCCGCTTTACTAGCAGTTGATACAAGTTTAGGGGTGTGATAGGGTTCAACATAGGCAGGACGTATTACACAAGTACCGCTACGACACCACTGTAATTTTCAGCAATCAGTATTGAGGTTAAAAATGACAATAACGCTAAGAAAACCAACCATATTTGGCCCACATGTGGTGCCCTCCAAAGCCGGATGCGATGTCCAAGTATAACGATCACGCTGACAGTGTAAATCAGTGCAAATATCTGCTTGCTTTTGATTTTTAGCGCGCATCGAAGGGCGTCCATATTTAAGCATACACTGCTGATCGGCATCAAAACGTTCACCCGGCAGTATACCCTCAGCCAAATGATCCAAATTGTTGGCAAATTGACCGTGATCGAAGAGGCAGCTGCCTAAACCTTTTCTGAAGAAAAAATTAATGATTTAGGATAATATAAGTAATTCTTTATTAAACTTGTTATTAATATTTATAAGCAATTTTTCACATCTTCCTCACCTCAAAAACTTTTCCAAATAATCACGCGAACAGTCCGACCATGTCGTCTTGCCACTGCCCAATGTAGGCGACATAATATATCGTGTGGGATCGCAATTCCGGTCGTTTATTGTATCGTGCCGCATGCCAAGGCTACATAAATTGATAACAAAAATTGAAAAAATATGGCAATAAATAAAATGTTTTACTGCATTCTGCTTTGCACGAATTCACTCACTTATGGCCGATCTCGTGTGCTACAACGAAAACACTTTCGAAATGTTTGCCCTCGTTGATGGTGCATGAAGAAGTATTCGTGCACATGCCGGACACTGGTGCAAGACCAACCACCTGATTGATCTTCTTACCGCCTTTATCCACAACGTACAAATCAAGACCTAAACGAAAAATATGTATGAGGAAAATTTGTAAAATTGTAAATATTTAGAGGTAGTAGAAAGCTTTAATAGATATAACATTATTAGACCAGATTGCAGTTATTACGGATTGAGCTCAAAGAGCAAGAATCAGAATTATTATTATCGACGCCTTGATATTCAAGATCCTCATATATAAAAGCACTGACCACAATAAAGTTATCGCTTTTTGCGTTAAATTTATCAAACATATACGTCAATAAAATTCAAAAGACTCTCCCAAAACATGCCACACTATTTGTAGCTTCATCACTTCCCACATCTACGAGTATTTCCCACACCCACCTGTTAATATCACTGCATGATCATAATGCATAGTGTCACTATCCTGCGGCGGATTTAAACGTTGCTGCCACTCACAAAAATTACTCAAATACGTATCAATATCATCGGAACGCCGTAAACTAGACGGATCATTGTAAAGTATCTCTAAACGTTTCAACACGAAATTAATGCGACGCCCCAGCGAACGATCGTGATATAACAGTTGAACGGCATTTATCATTGCCAATACAAAACGTATCATTTGACTTTCGGTATTGTCGGGAAAATTCTTCGACATATGCTGGAAGAGATCACGATCAACGAAGATCGCCGTCTCAATGTACAGATCTTGTGGTATCTTCGTACTGCCCGAAGCAATGTTACGACGCCGGCGACGACGTCGATGCTGTTGATGGTCATCGTGTTCATTGTGCTTTTTGCTTTTATTATTGTTTTCGTCATTGTTGTTGTCGTTGGGCATCAAATCGATGTGCTCAAGCAGTGTTGGCAATGTTGCTTTCGATTGTTGTTGTTTACGATGTTGGTGATGTTCTTTTAGTTTTCTTTGGCGTTGTGGCAGTTTATTCGGCTTCTGTTTGGACGCCAGTGCTTCTTGTTGTTGATCATGTAAATGTTGTCGTTGGCGCGAATGTTTCTGACGATGAAATTGGTGCTGTTCCACGCCGTTGTGATGATGATAACGTGGCTTATAACGTAAATTTATATCCACATATTTCTTTAATTTATCGCCTCTTCCGTTGTGATGATATGTGTAGTTATGTGTTGTGTCTTCTGCGAATTCTTCGTAGGTCACATAGCCGGTATTACGCACTGGACGGGCCGTATATTCACTTACGGTGGGCTCTAACGTGAAGTCGTTCAACTCGTTGAAACTCTCCTCTTCAGGCTCAAATTGTACGCTTGCGTTGAGTACACTCGCTGCCAATGGCATAACGGCAGATTCTCTGGTGTCTTTGGGCGGCAGGTGATAATTCGATTCGAGTATTACGTGGGTGGAGTTGCCAAAACGTGCTGGCAGTGGATGTATGATATAATTGGTGGAGTTGTGATGGAATACGCCGCGCTGAAATTTCGGAATAATTAAAGGATAATTTTATGAATCGGCAATAATATGTGGGCTGAATTATATTTTAATTAATTGGAGAGTGGAGAATCGCACAACAACTGTACCGGTGCAGCTAAACAGCAAAGGGTTACATCACTTCATACTCTCTTGTAAGGGATTCATCTGTGATACTTTCATTTGTAAAGTTTTTGGCAACAGCGAGAGCAAAAGAGTTTTTGTATGGAAGACTTTTTTCATTTAAGAAGATATCTTCACGAAATGAAAGGCAACGCTACAATCTCCAAACATATTGTTCAGATCGAATTACTATAGTATACAGCTGCAATTTAAACTGACCAACTAGAATGAGGTGAAGACTCTTTACTATAGCATCAGTGCAACCAAACTTAACGTGTTTTCTTTTTTTTTTTTAACCCTGTGCTGAGTCGATTTAGTCATACCAAATTTTGCACACATTCCTTGCTTCCGCTGCTTATAATATGGTTCAAAGCTATTTTGACAGTGGAATGTTTTCATACATGTAATTACAACAGCTTCGAGTGCCAGAAGAATGCACTACGCAAGAAGAACTAAGAGATATCTCGTTTTGAGCAGATAAAGATCTGATACATATGTTCCCAACCCCATCTAGTATGGTTCTTTGCTTTGAGCTTTACGGTTCTCTTTCTTTTGAATACTTTTTATGAAATTAGAGTAACAGTAAATGAACTTGTAAGGGATCCCTTTAATTTATCAATAAAAATATTTGCTATTAATATTCCACCCATGCTGTGACAAGTGACCCGTGCACTCTACTTTCCACTTATACCTATGTCCAATCAGCTTACTTTGCCACCAATGTGGAGAGACACACATCAGCAGCTGCGACATGTCTCACTTTCGTGGTTTACACACATGCTCACTCTTCACAGTCGCGGCACATACGCCATCACACAAATATGCTTCACCGCTTCGTTGATTTTCCATTCATCACTATTTTATTGTATTTTTTCTTGTTGCCATTGTTGTTGTTATTTTGCTACTTACCACATTTTCATCATCGCAAAGGTCAAGTGCTGAATTTTCATTACTGTAAAAGCATCGCTCATACCGCTCGGCTAATTTATGCGAATCCTCAATGAACTGTGTCGAGTTGGCATAGCGTCGGATGAATACAAAAGCATCGTCGATTAGTTTCGGTGTCTGGCGTAGCTGTAGGTGCACCGATTGGTCGTTGTCTGCAACAACAACAAAAAAAACGTATAAATAAACACAACAAAAGAAATTAAACAGTTATCTATGTGCATATATTGAAAATGAACAAGGCAGCGAAGATCAAAATGTGCGGCGCAGTTGCAATGGCAGTGGAACAATCGGCGCCGAAGTACTCATCAAAGGAGAAATACCATAAATATACATACACGCATATATGTATTTACATTTTTTCTTATATGAAATTTACATACATAGATATGTTAATATTCGTATTAATGCAGTATGCGCCGCATATAGCGCTTGTTGCATGCAACGGTGATCGCGCTACTGCAATTCTGTACTTTGCTGCATCTACTAACCGCTCTTCCGCTCATCTCGCCGACACTTCATTTCAAGCAGCATTGACCGGAATAATAAAAATATTGCTTCCGAAGTACGAGTAGCTTGCAACAAGATCAAAGAGGGCCTTAAATCATATGCGGTAACGATCTAAATGCAAAAGAAGAACAGCGAATAATTGAAGTATGCAATATTTTGCTTGGAATGCCTGTGATTATGTTGGTGATGGCTGCTACAATACTTATTGCACAGTTTGTTTCCTTAAGGTCAATTTTCTAAAGGAATTCGGAAAAAAATTTCTTGCAAGGGCGATCTTCATAAAGTTTCAGGTTCTTCAATATTTTTATTAAAGGAAAGTTTATCTACTACTGGAGTACAACTGGCAGTAGACTGTTCATCATCCTTTTAGTTGCAATAATGTTTTTGGAGACGTTATTGGCTGTACATATTATATATAAAGAAGAAAAATATTAATAGCGAATTATCCTTAGGTCCTTGTCTACTATTTACCATCTGACTAAATTTGATTCTGACCGATAAAAATAAAATTAGATTTTCAAGTATTTCAATACAAAATAAGCTCTTTTTAAGGCAATACAAGCATGCCAACGCTTAATTCAATTTTCTATACACTTGTTATAAGTCTCAGCTGGGAGAGCCTTCAGCGCCTTCAGGAAAATTTGGTCTTTTCGCTTTCGGCTCATTTTTTTTAGCGCCATTCGCATGATTGTTAGACAATTTTGACGTCATATTCATGAACCCAATTCTCGTCATCACTAATGATGACTTTAATGAATCTGTCAGATGATTATCATAAAGTCCTCGATGCATACTTGGAGTCACTTAAATATTTGTGTTCGTGATAAAAGAGATTTTTCAAAACACTTTCGCAATATTTTCAACGATCATGTAGCTGTGCATAGAAAAGGTTGTACCAATCTAAAAAAAATTGTTTATCCATTGACTGCGAGAGCAGTTTATATAGATCAGCCCTGATCAAATTTCATCTTGAGAAATAGTTTGCTATATGCGACTCTATGTACTAATAATAAGTGTATGTGAAGCCGCCATTTCCTCTGAAAAGTAGTAAGAATCCTAAAATAATGTGAGAAACTAATTAACCTTCATTACCTTTGCATGTCAGTATTGTTTCTTTTTTTTTAATTTTGATCATATATTGTAAGTATAAAAGTATTTTTAAAAAGCACCGCAATGCTAGGCCAAACGTACCTTTAAACTATGTTGTCTACTTGAAATACAAGGAAAAGATAACTGGACGAACGAAAACTGATGCAAATGTTATTTGTGGAATTATCAAAGTTGTGGCCTGGCTAAGGTCTTTTTAGATAATATCATACGTCATAAAGCGTACAGTAAATAATTTAGAGTTTGGTGTCTTATCCACCGAGTTCATATTAAATAATTATTCGCTAATATTGCAAAATATCTTAGATTTGTGTGCGAAACTTCGCTAATAAGTATCTCATAAAAAATCTAGTAAAGTTAATTCCATAATCCAGCTGCAATTGTCGTGCACTAAAAATAGAACTTCCAATCTAAAGCCGCAATACGAACGAGCATTTATCTTGCATTGACTGCGCCAGCTGTCAATCTTCTGACACTTAAAAATGCATTCAAGCCAGAGCAACTGGCAACTGAAACGATTTGATGTATTGTGTTTGTCGTGATTAACTTACCTTTTATTTGCACAGAGACAACGTCTTCACTCGCTGCCGATTGCGGTTGCGCGTCGGCTCTTTGGCTCTCTGCGGTGGCGCTGGTGTCAGAACGTTTGACACGATGCGATGATTTGTGCGTTGGTTGTTGCTTTTTTTGTGACATGAAAGCTGCCGGCGTTACTGAATCAGCAGCTAAAGTTCCTGCATTGACGTCGCTGGCATCTGTTAGATGTTGTAAATGCACCAATTTAAGCGGACGCCCTGCAAGCAAAGAACGTTGTGGGTAATTATTTACAAATTTATATTATATATAGGTATGTACACAAACAAGTTCTAAAAGGCAGAAAAGTAAACAACCAACGGACAGGGTGGTCACGAACGAGTAGGGGTATATTTACTGTCTGTCCATTTATAGCCTTTTGGCTTATATCTGCGTCTATTTATCTGTCTGCCGGTCCGAACAGCTAATCATTTGTCTATTCAAGTAGATTGCCTTTGGCAGCTTAGAGTACATACATTATACAGCCACCTCTATCGATTCCAATTGAACTTCGCATTCAGTAGTAGAAATATCTGTTCTGTCGGTATCGAATGTGTGTGTTTTTTAGATTTATTGCCAATTTATACATTGACCCTATATTTTTGTGTCTACAGTATATATATATAAGTAACGACATCGCAGCATTTCTGTAACATTTATACTACAAGTGGCAGTAACGCAACATGTTTAGTCTGACAGTACCGGGTGTCATTTATATTCTTCGTATGCCAGTTAAAAGAAAAAGTAACGGAACGTATACAAATATATAAGGTAAATGTGTAAAAAAAAAACTAAGTTAGTACATTTTCAGCCTAAGTGGTTCATCTTAACGAAGATTTCATCCTGTATTTCGGATCACATCGGACATTAGTATTATTTATTTATAATATGTTTACAAATATTATAGACAACAGCTATCCTGTTTAGAATCTCTAAACTCAATAATCGATTGCTTTTTGTTCATAACTCTTCTTTTTATTCCACGATTTTTTTCACATTCTCTGACTCACCTTCTTTCTCTTTTCCAAATATTAACTCTTTTTCATGTTCAGCCAAATGATCAGCGAGTGAACTTTCCTTAATCTGAAAATCAAAAAGGAGTATATGATTAGTAACATAATTAATATGAAGATATTTTCAGAAATATTGCTGATTTCCAACACATTATAAAGATATCAAGTAAGAAAAATACATTTTAAAATATTAATTCCATATCTAAAAAGACAGATATTCAGAAATAATTAAATGAAAATTTACGGACCGGTATCAACATATGAAAACAATGTTTTTTTTAAACTCCAACAATTTTAATACCTTCAATATAACCGTATAAATTAAAATTTTTTTAAAAACTTTCTAGTCCCGTCATTTTTGATTTCCGACTGGTTGTTTTCTACACAAAATTTTGAATTACATTAAAGTATAAACAAAATCTGAAACTAAAAACAGACAGAGCAAGCAATCGACTTAATTACATTTTGTAGGCAATCCCTGTGAAGCGGTTCGAAAAATTTCAATTTTTATAAAAATTAGACTGAACACTGAAATACATAACTGAAGAGCCCAAAATGTTTTAGTTTTATAACTTAACTAGGTCTAATTTGAAAACATATTTAGGCACTTGAAGAAAGGCATAATTTGAAAAAAAAAAAATTCCATATTCTGAAGCTACTGAGTGACAATTTGTCGCAGATCTTGACTCTTAATTTAATATGGTTAGATCGTACTGGGTTCACTGCTTCGTACCAAACTAAACTGGTATAAAGCGGTATAAAATTTTTATATAATCCGACCGTTCGTTTCTTCTTGCTATGAGCAAATTCAGAAGCACAAGCTAAACGAAATAAAGAATCAACACTCAACTGATCTAAAGTGGTATAATTGGTATAATATTGGTTTAATCCGAACGTTCATTTTTTCTTGCTATGAGCAAACTCAGAAGCAGGAGCTAAGCACGATATGATGTACAAAGAAAATCTGAATTTTTCGAAATTAATATTTATGAGGTTAGCTTATATATAGTGAAGATACTTGTCGCACTCACACACATACGAAAACGTGTAACAAAGTGTGATTTCTCGATAGCTTTCGGAGGTGTTTTGAAAATTTCCATTCAATTTAGAAAATGACAACAAATTAAATAAATAAAGTAAGTTGCAATTTTACGCAAATACGAGCTTGAACTTCAGCTACATAGTATTTTGACTTCCGCTAACTTTAAGCTCTAAGTTGAAAAATATACATAAACATTATAACAACAACAACAACATAACGAGAGCAGCTACACAATGCAAACGATGTAAACTATAAGCGTCTGCAGCGAACCATGTCGCGCAAAGCAGCAATATTTGTTGACGCGCAGCAACAATTGCCGCGGTAAACACCACTAATTGCCGGCAAGGGCATTGAAGGCTGGCTGAAGTTAGAAATCAACAACAACAACAACAATATCAGGCAAAAGTAGGTGGAGTTTTTTCACCTAGAGAATGTGTGTTTGCGAATAAACCAAATTAGAATCACACAAATAAAAGCCGAATTCACCAAAAACCATTCACGCATACTAAACACGCGCACAAACACACACACAAATGCGCAGACACCATCAGGTGGCGTTGAAAAGTGCCGGAAAAGCACGCACGATTTCAAAGTACTTGAACTGACTGTATGAATGTGCTAAAAAAAACATACCAACACAGCAATAATGAGCACAACAATGGTCGCAACAACAACCACTGAGTACCAAAATCAACGAACCGTAATAATAGAAACGTCAATGTTAGGCTGTGGTGGCGCTTCAGCCAGCGCCAGCTTCCGTAGCCGGCAAAACGAGGTGGTATGCCACCCATAATGGCCACTCGCAGTTTAATTTATTTACAAGCACGTCACAGTCTCGGCATACTGTCGCGATGATTTCAGATATCCGAACCAATAATATTTTTAGTCATGGATTTACCGAAAGTGGCTCAATGGGATCTTACTGCTTCAATTGGCAATACTTTCAGCTTAACTAATAGAAATTAGAACTTTACGACTGGGTGATTTTTGAATTACCAGAAAAAAAATTACCTATGTGATTTGATCTCTCGAGCCTTGAGTTACAGGTAAACGACAATCCGTTACAAAATGTAGGTTAAGTCGATTAATAGGGCTCTCTAAGAGATTGCCAGCTCAAAGACCTGCCTGGCGGAAGAAAAATTTTCAGAAAGTTATGTATTGTTCACTACGCAATATGATTCTAGCTTCAGTATACCGAATAAGAACTTCAGCAGCTGCTTGTACTACTACCCTTATGTTAGTGCCAATTATATTGTCAAAATACTCGAGTCGATAGCCTTAATCTCATCTAACAATATAAATTCTATTGAAGATAGAGAAATATGGCCGAGCTGAGATAAATAAGCAGATACCCATAGGAATGCAAGAAGTTGCTAACCCGGTCTGTAACTATACTCACTAGTTTTTCTCAACATTGTTTTACAGATGACACATTAAAATTATGTAAAAATATATACGACTTTTGTACTTTACTCTCAGCAAATTATATGTTTTTACGTTCGCATAAAGTTTGATCTCCATATGTCAATAAGTATGTTATTCACAGCTGTTTGTCTGGCGATTTTTATACATCGGATCGTATACCCTGAAACAAGGAATTTTCTGAAGACTTTTTTTAATTGTCCATGTGAAAATAAATATATTTTCCCAGGTGTGCAAATTTTATAATTTGGTTTCACAAAATAACTTAATTTTAATTTAGCTTTTGTATTGGTTATCTAGAGTATGAACAAAAGTTTCATGCATGCAATCGCTGTGAGAAAAGTTCGCATGCGCATGCGTAACTTTTCAATGCTTACATTTACATTATATATATAAATAAAGCACATAATAAATTAGTTATTGCAAACACGTCGTCATTATAGTCTGCTCCCCTTTCGGTCGTGATTCAAGTTAGATTTTTGCATTTGCGTATTTACGATTTTCCCGTCTTAGCTCATCTTGGCAAGCTATTACATTGTTCTGTAGCGGAACGAGCATATGTAATTTCTTTGATATACATATGTATGTATGTACATACCTCTATACTATAAGAAGTCACCTTTCTTTGGGCCGCAATTTATAGGCTTTGTATGCGGTCATCCAATTACTATGCTCATTAGGTTGTTCTGCGCTTATTAGTTCATAATTCTTCTGCTTTTAACCATGAAAATAATATGTGTTTCTTAACATAGGTCAATAACTTTGAGCATTATTACTAGAGTTACAATTAAAGTTTTTATGTATTTAAATTACCACATTATGGCTGTCTCTTATCCCCAACCTTTAGAATGTGGCGAATCAAACAAACAACTGGTATAAATCAATTAATGATAGATTAGCAGGCGGTTATTAATTTTTTAAATTTTTGATATATCTACATAATATCTTGTATTAAAGTCTATTTGATTAGGTATATATTGTTCTTATGTAAATTTTTTGACAAGAGAGCAGAGCTGAAATAGTAAGAAGAGAAGTGATGAAAAGAACTTGGATTATTTTTTTTTTAAATAACCTTTTAAACTATGTTCAGCAATTGAGTTTATTTTTACTTCTATCGCTTAATATTCTAGTTGCGATATAGCCGCTAATTGTATCCTAGTTCACAGACATTTCAAACTTCAAAAGAGGCAAAAAAAATGTACTTATTCGGTGGCGTAGATTCAACTATCGTGGAAACTGTCACATATATTGAAGTAGTCAATAAGGAAAAGGTTGAATCATTAATCGAATCATAATTCTCTTATCGAACCACCTATCGTCGAAACTGCATTAGAAGAAATCATGAAAATTCTCAGAATATACCTGCAATGTCAATGCCGTTCACAGCAGCTCCAGTTCATGTTTTAATGTGTAATCATAATTATACAGACTTTAAAGCCACTGACAGTGATAAATACAGAGTGCCAGAAATCCGTAATTTACGTTTTTTTGTAGTTATTTTAGATATATAGTTTGCCATCAACAAATGACAGCATACTTACTTTCACATACGAATCAAACGAACAGCGGATCTAAAGTGATGATAGAGTTCAATAGCTATTGTCACACAGTATTACGGCCATAATTATTATTTCGTATCCGATTACTTGATCGATTCACATGAGTCAATAAAAATATCAAGCCATTAGAATTATTTCGCATGCAATTGTTTGAACTGTGACACACAATGTATTTTGCGACGATTAATTTTTACACGCTTAAAAGATGCGATCATAGAAAAATATTGAAAGATATGTTTGCGAGTAACAACGCAGTAGGAAAGTGAGCTAGTATAAAATAAGTTTGGTTCCTGTGCACTAATTGTCATTATTAGTTCGGGTTAGTGCTCTTTACCAGGACAATGCTCAGAAGAGTCAACTGAAATATTTTACATGGCTTTTTACAATTTTGTACTAGTACGCGAACTAGTCCTCTCTCAGTTTTTGAGATATCGAACTGAAATTTTGCAAACATCCTTTTGCAACTGATCAATCAAAATCAAAGTAAAAACGTTGTATATACTTTTATGATATAGGAAATATACTTGTGCCTGTGAATCGTATTATAGCGGTGCAGTCGAAGTTAACGTATTTCCTTGTTTTTGCTTAGTTTAGAAATAGAACGAAGCAATCAAAATCTTACCCGTCGACAATCAGAAACGGAAGAAACATCTGCTTCAAATTTTTAAGTTCTTGAAATAGTTCCAAAAATGTATAATATTATTAATTAACTTTTAATAATAAATTACAATTTCAAAGTTATTTTAATTTTTCTTAAATCACATTTTCCTACGGGGTAGTTCTATCTATTTGAGTAAGCGAAATAAAAACATGAAAAGCCGCCGTTTTTATACACATGCCTTCACACATATATATGTATATATTTATTTATATATATTGTAAATGTAGATATGTAGATATGTATAATTGCTTGCATTAATCGAAAATCGCATCTGAGGCGTATCTGGTAATGAATATGCTGCAGATGCACATCAAAATGTTAAGTGCATACATTTGGCATACATATATACAATCACCATGTGTCTGCAATATTTCGCAATTACGAAA